TAAGAGACTGAGCTGAATACAGCACCTCAGACTGAGGAAGTCTCTCGTTGAGAGACGAAACGTTTCTACATTTTTTTGTTGTTTTGCTTTGTTTTGTTTTTTTGAATGTCCAGAGGACCAGATTTAACTTTTTTAGATTTTTCTACCTGGATTATTGAGCATGCATCAGGAGATCTTTTCATTCAATGTTTTTTTTCTTTCTGATGAATTTGTTTTATTTTGAATGAATGAATAAATAGATGGCTGAAAGCCAAACCACTTCCAAACCAGCAAATTAGTCTTTCCTCTCTTATCAGTGATGTCATCTGCTTTCTCTTCGCTTGTAAAAGCTTGTTCAGTCACATTCTGATGATCATGGGCACTCATTTTGAAGCGAAAACTTAACGCGCATTGGAGATTAGCCTAGCTTAGCATGCTACCACTAACGCCTTCTGGACTTGAGCTCTGCGTAACATTATGTCACCACGCACTTGCGTAGTTGTGTCGCACCTTTTTCTGTCCATGTTGAAACTGAAGAGGTCGCTTCAACCCGAACAGAAAAAGAAATGCGTCAGTGAAACGCTGTAATCCTATCGAAATATCGATTAACAGGTAAACGCCCCTTACCTGTAGATATGGGGCTGCCTGCAGCCAGGACGCTTTACAATCAGAGGGATTTGTGAAAAATCACCAGAACAAAATGGTTAAACGATGTCAGTGGAGAACAGGTAATCCAGACACATGTTACCCTGAGCGTTTAGAGGGTGGGATACAGTTTATTCATTTAAAAAAATTAAACGGAGTTTGAAAAACATGTAAAAAGCCAGGGACCAACCCCATCAGCTGATCACAAGTTATAAACGGGAAGTAGATACCACATGTTCATCTTTATGAAAGTTACTGCAGGTAAATCCATTTTCTGTCATAATTACATTGTATGCTTAATGGTTAAATTAAAGGTTAATGTTTAATTCAGGTTATGTTTATTTATCACATGCAGGTTAACACAAGGTTAACAGTACAATAAAATATTCAGGATGAGAAGAACTGATTTGACTCACTAAAACAAATAACAAACAAACAAGAAATACTAAAGCATTCAATAAGGGTACAACATAAAGTACCAAAAAGTGAAAAAGTAAATACAATATTTACAAGGTCCTAAAGAAAAAAATAGTAAACAACATGGTAGAATATAACAGTGCAAGTAGGATGAATTTGTATGAATAAATATTTCAAGGTAGTAATATAAGCTTAAATTCACATGATGTATACTGCACATAACTAGCATAAACTACACAGGTTGTGTGACAGATTATTGCACAGGTAGTGACTAACATGGCGATGAATTATGATGGTAAGGTACATGCATGATACAGCCACATAATGCATTAGCAATAAAATATTAGGCGTCACAAGCTAATATTAGTCATATTAGTTGTCACAGATGTGACTTGGTGTAATGTTATTGCCAGTTCAGTGTTATTTATTGAGAGTTCTGTAATCTGACAGCTTGTGGATAATAACTGTCTTTGAGTCTTTTCATGCGCGATGGCAGACTCCTGTATCGTCTGCCTGAGAGTAGTAGATGGAAGAATCCTTGTGCTGGGTGGATGTGGTCTTTAATGATGCTGCGTGCTTCACGCAGAGATAGGCTGTGGTAGATATCCTGGATGGTGTGGAGACTGCTACCATTGATGTCCTCTGCTGTTTGCACCACCCTCTGTAGAGCTTTCCAGCTCTGACTTGTGCAGTTCATGTACCACCCTGTGTTGCAGCCTGTCACCAGGCTCTCAATGGTTCGCCTATAAAAGTTGGTGAGGATGCTGGTGTTCGTACCGAACTTTACATTTCCTCATAGGCGAAGCAATCTTACCGTTCATGTAAAATATTTGATAATGTTCTTATAGAAACAATTCCTGAATGTTCATACTGTGTTAATGCTACATGTTTGTCTCTTGACCCTACAAGTGGCTAGGATGCATGAGAGAAGTGGAGCGTGCTCTATTCACACAAGGAGAGCTGTTGGTCAGGCTACTTCTTGTTGTGCCATTAACTCTAAAATAGTTATTGAATCAAGTGTTACTTATGTAGACAAAACTAAATGTTTAACACCCTGTTAAAATACACCAGAATGCAGGAAATGGCATCTACTTTATTCAAAATTTTCTGGGGGAGGACCCCCAGACCCCCACGAGTGTGCTCCCGATGCAAATGTTCACCACATTGTTCAAGCCAAGAGCCATTGTCAGCACTGAAGGCTGCAAACCCCCCCTAAAGGGCAGATTCTAGAATCAGCCCTGATGTAAGCTTATTTTTTTTTGTAACCTGATTTTTATCATAATGGGTCGTGATCTAAAGTGGGCCACTCTGAGGCATGAAACTCCAGGGCTGAAAATGAGTCCCACTCCGGCCCTGCCGGCAGCTCTTAAGCCTCCAGTATACTGCCGCGCACGTCCGTTCACGCGTACGTACGCGTGTACTGTATGCAGAGGGTTCAGTCTTCGTACTTCAGCGTACACCCCGAGCAGCTGCAGAGCAGCTTCACAGACAAGGGGTGTTTACCTTCTGTACAAATTGAGGTCGTCGATTGGTCATTTGCTGACACGCCTACTGGATTGATTGACAGGTCGGAAAAAAGAAGAAAAAAAAAACGAGCGCTGGCAGCCTCAGCCACAGCGGTGTTCTGTGTTTATATGTTGTTAATAAAAAGATCTAAAAAATAAATAAAAAACAGGGAGCGCTGGCTCTACAGCCCACACATCAGACCAGTCCACCAGGAAATCTCCAGACCCTCCTGCAGTCATGCTGGACCTGAATTTAATTCGCTCGTGACAAATTCCTTCATTTCTCACCATTTCAGTCATTGCATCAACGGAGGAGGAAGAGATCACTTGCCTCTTGGCAAAAAAACAAAAGAAAAGGCCAGATCAGAGATGAAGAAAGGGAATTTAATACATTGGTGTCGCATACAAAACAGTCCGTCCCTGGGCAGTTTATTGTGCGACTACGCGTATGCGGTCGTAAAAATTTGAGCTTTGCACAGACATGCCCTGGGGGGTACGCTTGTACCTCTGCGTACGTACGTGCGTACCTCTGCGTATGGATGTACGCGGCAGTATACTGGGGGCTTTAGGGTGCATTCACACCAGCCCTGTTTAGTCCGCTTTAATCGAACTCTAGCTCGTTTTCCTAGAAAGTCCGGTTCGTTTGGGGAGGTGTGAACGTGCCATCAAACTCTGTCACGGAACAAAAAGGCGAACTCTGGCCCGGGCTAAAACCTAGGTCTCGGTCCGGTAGAAGAGAACTCCAGCGCGGTTTGAGTACAGTGTGAATGTAAACAGACTGAGCCCCGCTCCACAAGCAAGAAGTGGAGTACAGCACAGGCCAAACAAACACGCATTTCTCTTGCCTTATATGGAGCCGTCAGCTGCCTTGTGTTTAAAGCAACATTCTCCATGGTCTTCTGCTCATGCTGAGTTCATTGTTGAAAATTCTTCTTTCAGTATTTCTTGGTGCAGCGCCCCCACAGGCGAGCGGGGGAATAGGTTGGTTCAACAGGTTGGCTCGACTGCACAGTGCAGTGTGAATGCAAACGCACCAGCTCAAATGTAAACAAAATGTCATGAATATTGGTCCCCAATCAAATCGAGTCTACCGGACTATCCGGTGTGAATGCACCCTTAATGGCTGTGCTGTTCAGGAGGAAGTGTGCCTTGGCCAGACAGCGCAAGGACACATTCCCGCACTGTTTGTCTGAAATGGTTGTGGTTTCTTTATAACAAATTTGAAAATTAGTGTTTCTTCTTGGTTAATAACCACAATATTTCTCCTCCATCAACTGAAAATATAACACATTGCCAATGATGCTGCCACTGTTTGTTTGTTTTTTTTCCTGTTTGCATGTGACGTGTTTTTGTAAGACGGAGGATGTTCTCACTAGTTTTATTTTATTTTTTTCTTAAGCCTTACTCTTAACTGTTGCAAAAAACATTGCAGGCTGCAGAGGGGTAAATCTCATTAAACTTTTAGAAGACTCAACTGAACCAAAGTTAATCTGTCATGTTTACCTTCATCAGGTGGACACAGTGAAGCGTTTGCTGATCAAGAAACTGCCGCCTGTCCTCGCTATCCAGCTAAAGCGCTTTGACTATGACTGGGAAAGGGAGTGTGCCATTAAGTTCAACGACTACTTCGAGTTTCCCAGGGAGCTGGACATGGAGCCGTACACAGTAGCAGGTGTGGCGAAGCTTGAGGGTGACGACGTGAACCCAGAGAACCAGATGATCCAACAGAATGAGCTGTCTGAAGCCACACCACCTGGCAGCTCCAAGTATCGTCTGGTTGGAGTACTGGTTCACTCTGGCCAGGCCAGTGGCGGACACTACTATTCCTATATAATCCAGAGAAATGGAGGTGACGGGGAGAAGAACCGCTGGTATAAGTTTGATGACGGTGATGTGACTGAGTGCAAGATGGATGATGAGGAGGAGATGAAGAATCAGTGCTTTGGGGGAGAGTACATGGGGGAAGTATTTGACCATATGATGAAGAGGATGTCGTATCGGAGGCAGAAGCGCTGGTGGAATGCTTATATCCTGTTCTACGAGCGCATGGACTCACTGGACAAGGACAGCGAACTTGTTAAATATATTTCTGAGTTGTCCATTTCCTCCACCAAGCCACATCAAGTCAAGATGCCTAATGTCATCGAGTGTAGCGTTCGCAAGCAGAACGTCCAGTTCATGCACAACCGGATGCAGTACAGCCTGGAATATTTCCAGTTCATTAAGAAACTTCTGACCTGTAACAGTGTCTATTTAAATCCCCCTCCAGGTACGCACCCCGTTTGTCTGCAGTTCAATGTCAAATGTTTGGTTTTTACTCATAAGACTTGAACTTGAACATAACACATGTAGTATTGTAAAAAAAAAAAAAATTACGTGTGAAGGAATAATACAAGAATTCAAAGCTCTTTTTGACAGATTTGGAAAATAATGGTGTATTATTTTAGGTTGTACAGACTCACATCCCGATTGTTCTTTAATACTTTTGGTTTCTTTGACCTTTTGAACACTGAATAATTTCACATATCTTTGTGCACATTCTATCCATTTGTATTTTAAATCAGTTCTCCTTGAGCTACAGCAGCTGTTATTATTAATTAAGGCACTAATCAGACTTTATTTTGGTAAAAATAACATTTAAACTTGATAATATCCTGAAATACTGTAGAGACTATAAACTGCAGATAATTGCGTCATCTCTTTGTTGGGCATATAAATCATAAATGCACTGTTCATTAGTACAAAGTTTAATATTTCACAGAAATAAATAGTAAATCAGTCACTAAAGAAACAGTGAAACTTTAAAACATGTTTTCAGTTGTCGTTCCTCCAGCAAAGATGTGATTTTCACTTTGTTTTTCTGAAATTATCAATAAATATTGTTTTTGTTTGATTTAAACAAACTTTAGATAACCAGATAAAACACAGTTGATCAAGTGATCAGCTTTCTATAATTTAGCTTTTTTTTAAACTTAATCTTTATTTTTGATAGGATGAAAATGGCAAAAATAAAAGTTTTTTTAAAAACATTTAACTCGATTCATAAAATAATTCTTAAAACAGGAAGGCTACATATTTTATCTTGCTGGTTTAGTATTTTAAAATTCTCACTATTCAGTTGAATATGGTAAAGTTCAGCTTTATTCAGGAGATGTTGACATGTGTACAATAATACCTGGAATGCCCAAATAAGGACGTAATTATGTTGAACAGATTTAAATTGAAGTGTTTTGTCCCGAAACATCACAGTGATAACTGAATGTTTTATTGTGCTCAGTTTACTCATGGTAGACTGCACTTTTTGCATAATTTATATTTTAGGAGTTTTGTGTTCTTGATGTGACTTCATGTTTTAGTAAAGACAAATCTTTTCAGATTACTTTTTCAACAATTGTTTGGGAATTTCATTGATAACAGATTGTCCATCTATTTCCAGTTGTGTTGGATGTAATTTTATTACAGTAAAGAAAACTAAATTATTTAGAAACTTTTCTGAGTGTACTAATTCTCTTTCCATCAGGACAAGACCACCTTCTGCCAGAGGCAGAGGAGATTGCCATGATAAGCGCTCAGCTGGCTGCTCGGTTCCTCTTCAGCACAGGTTTTCACACCAAAAAGGTCGTACGAGGTCCTGCCAGCGACTGGTAAGCTCCGTTTTCCTGTGATTTGGGAGATTTCTTTCTCGTCTAAAACCTTCATGTTTCCTCTCTAGGTATGACGCTCTCTGCATCCTGCTGAGACACAGTAAGAATGTACGCTACTGGTTTGCACACAACGTTCTGTTCGCTTACCCTAATCGGTTCTCTGAGTATCTCCTCGAGTGCCCAAGTGCTGAGGTCCGTGGAGCGCTTGCCAAGCTTATAGTCTTCATCGCTCACTTCTCCCTGCAAGATGGTCCATGTCCCTCCCCCACTGCCTCGCCTGGACCCTCAGCTCAGGTTAGACCTCGGGATGTGAAATGGAGCTTACAGAAAATACATACAAGACATTGAAAGGATTCTCATCCCGTATAATTGCTTCATTAATCCTTTGTTGTTTGTCATGTTTGTGGATTAGGGCTGTGATAATCTGAGCCTTAGTGACCACTTGTTGAGAGCTGTACTGAACCTGCTCAGGAGAGAGGTTTCTGAACATGGCCGGCACTTGCAACAGTACTTTAACCTCTTTGTCATGTACGCCAATTTGGGTAAGTCTGCAACGATCATCTAAAGTTAATCATGTGTCGATTTAAAATGTTTCACTTTCATTGCTTCAACCACCTGCAGGCCTGGCAGAGAAGACTCAGCTGCTGAAGCTAAATGTTCCTGCTACTTTCATGTTGGTAGCTCTGGACGAGGGTCCTGGTCCTCCCATTAAGTACCAATATGCTGAGCTGGGCAAGCTTTACACTGTGGTCTCCCAGCTGGTGCGCTGCTGTGATGTGTCCTCACGCATGCAGTCCTCCATCAATGGTAGGTGTACCACAGGAGTTGGGCTGCTCTCAGCTGGTGATCATCTGTGAATATGACGTGTTTGAGATGAGAGCTGAAGCCTCGTCATGATTTATGTCCTTCCTCTGAATTAAGTCACTGACGAAGTAGCCACTCTGAGCTTCTTTTCCATGAAAGCGTAGTTTGAAGCTATGGTTTTCATTATGATAATTAATTATTTGTATCAAGAATACTTGATGGCAAATGGTAAATGGACTGTACTTATATAGCGCCTTTCTATCTTATTTAAAGATACTCAAAGCGCTTTACACTACAATCTGTGCCCTCATTTACCCATTCATACAGCACTCTAATAGATCTCTACAAAGCTAATTGAACAAATCATTCTAAAGAGACTAATCAGTGCTTTAGATCACATTCATACACTGATGGGACACACATCAGAGGCTATGAGGGGTTTAGTGTCTTGCCCAGGGACACTTCGACATATGCTGGTGGGTTCGAACCCCCAACTCTCGCATTGAAGGACGACTGCTCTAACCACTCAGCCACAGCTGCCCAAATCTTTAGATCTTTTTTTTTTTCTTTTCAGGTAACCCTCCCCTTCCTAACCCGTACGGGGACCCAAATCTGACGGCTCCAGTCATGCCTGTACAGCAGCTGGTGGCAGAGATCCTGTTTGTGAGGACAAGCTACGTAAAAAAGATCATTGAGGACTGCAGCAACTCAGAGGAGACTGTGAAGCTGCTTCGATTCTGCTGCTGGGAGAATCCTCAGTTCTCCTCCACTGTACTCAGTGAACTGCTCTGGCAGGTGAACCATCATCACACCAACACGTTGGCCTGCAAGTGTTTTGAGCGCAGCTGTTGATGCATTTGGATTCTTTGTTGCCTTCAGGTGGCGTATTCCTACACCTATGAGCTGAGGCCTTATCTGGACTTGCTGCTACAGATCCTGCTTATCGAGGACTCCTGGCAAACACACAGGTCAGACTGGCTGCTGGGTCTGCAACACAAACACTGCTTTATTTTTAAATGAGATCACTCCTGAGCAAATTTAGTTTTTCTCTTCAGGATCCACAATGTGCTTAAAGGCATTCCTGATGACAGAGATGGGCTGTTTGACACCATCCAGCGCTCCAAGAGTCACTACCAGAAACGGGCCTATCAGTGCATCAAGTGCATGGTGGCCCTCTTTAGCAACTGCTCTGTGGCTTACCAGATCCTGCAGGTACACTTTCTGTCCCACTCTTCTTTTTTATTCACAACTACTTTAAGGATACTGAAATAAATATAAACTTTTGAGTTAAATGTCTTGGTAAGATTAGTGTAGTGATCTTCTTGCCCATCAGGTGAAACCATGTCTCCTAATCCTTCTGTTCATTGCTTCCTACAGAGTAACGGTGACTTGAAGCGAAAGTGGACGTGGGCTGTAGAGTGGTTAGGGGATGAGCTGGAGAGGAGGCCGTACACAGGAAACCCACAGTACACGTACAATAACTGGTCCCCTCCTGTTCAGAGCAATGAGACCTCTAATGGATACTTCCTGGAGCGCTCACACAGTGCTCGCATGACGCTGGCTAAGGCATGTGAACTCTGTCCTGAAGAGGTAACGGCATTTACAGCGCACCAGTTGGAACATGTTTAAAGATTTAACACAAAACTTCATCACAAATATTATATAAATGAGGCTGATACAGGTGCTGGTCATAAAATTAGAATATCGTGAAAAAGTTTATTTATTTCAGTAATTTCATTCAAAAAGTGAAACTTGTATATCGTATTCATTCATTACACACAGACTGATATACAGTGAGGAAAATAAGTATTTGAACACCCTGCGACTTTGCAAGTTCTCCCACTTAGAAATCATGGAGGGGTCTGAAAATTTCATCTTAGGGGCATGTCTACTGTGAGAGACATAATCTAAAAAAAAAAAAATCCAGAAATCACAATGTATGATTTTTTAATAATTTATTTGTGTGTTACTGCTACAAATAAGTATTTGAACACCTGCCAATCAGCAACATTTCTGGTCCTCAAAGACCTGTTAGTCCACCTCTAAAAAGTCCACCTCCACTTAGGGCTGCGTACCTTTCTAAAAAAATAGGTACCGGTATTGGTACCTTCACTTTGGTGTCGGTTCCTGGACGGTTCTTTTTTCAGTACGAATTTTGTAATTACTATTAATTCTAACAATAATAAAATTACGTTACACATTACAGTACAAATCTTGAGTTTTTTTTTTTACTTTGGTATTTTTATATTCCACGCAGTTTTCTTCCATAAAAATGAACAAATAATTTCCAGTTCAAAAGAACAGTTGCAAACCAGTGACACGTCAGTGTCTAATGCTCACTGCTACACACTTAGGACCTTTTCACTAACATCTGCTTTCTCTGGACACAAACAAGCCCACTCCTGGCTGATGGTGTCTCCAGCAGTAGGAAGTGTTCACTCTGAGGGTGTGGATGATGCTTGTTGCACACACAGATCCCTGGTTGTCAGTTTGATAGCACTGACATATTGTCCCTCACATTCCACCTCCAGGTCACTGGATTCACTGAGGTTAGGGTTGATGGCAGACTTCTGTACCTCTGTGTCTCTTCCTGAATCTTCTCTGTGGTTCTCTGGGGTTTAGGGCTCTTATCATCTCCCTAATTGACATTAGAACACAAAACATCAACAATAACATGGTTTTGTTATTATTGCTCAAAAACCATTATCTAGGCTGAGAAATAAAAGCTTAACTGGTCAACAATATTCTTTAAAGTTTACTTATGGGGATCGGCTGTGGCTGAGTGGATAGAGCAGTCATCCTCCAATGCAAGAGTTGGGGGTTCGAATCCACCAGCAGTCACATGGCGAAGTGTCCATGGGCAAGACACTGAACCCCTCATCGCCTCCGATGTGTGTCCCATCGGTGTATGAATGTGATCTAAAGCTCTGATTAGTCTCATTAGAATGATTTGTTCAATTAGCTTTGTAGAGCTCTAGTAGAGTGCTGTATGAATGGGTAAATGAGGCACAGATTGTGGTGTAAAGCGCTTTGAGTATCTTGAAATAAGATAGAAAGGCACTATATAAGTACAGTCCATTTACCATTTACTTACCTCCACCATGCAGCTTCCACTGTAGAAAAAGGCAGCAAACTTTTAACAACAAAGTTTGTGACTGTCCTATGACCCCCCACCTCACTTTTCTTTTGTCTGTCTCTGTCCTTACATCAGGGTCAGAACCTCCTGTGAGAACATAAACAAACGGTGAACATTAGCTGACCTTTTTAAGCTGCTGATCTGATGGATGAGCACATTTTTACAAGCTAATCTTTATCTGTTGCTGTCAATGTTAACTTCTGAGTTTAGCTAGCTACGTAGATAAAATAAATTTACACACTAATATCTTAAAGTTAGTGTTACATGGATTCTAGTTTAATTCACTGCAATGTACATGTTAAGCTGCAGTAATGTTAACAAACGTAAACTTACCAGCTGAAACACAGACACAGCTCCGTCCTCTGAGTTCTTTGATGAAGAGGAGTCCGGTCGTGGAATGTTGATTCAGGACAATCATGCTCTAATGCTCACAGGCTGACTTTAATGCCGAGAAGAGGGGCGGAGGCTGCTGTCCTTCTCTCTCCTTGCAGAAAAACACGTTCGACAACACGCGCTACACACGTGAACCCCGTCTGTGGGTTTAACCAGCACCATAGACATGCAAGCTTTAGGGCAGCTCTATACAGCTCTGGGTGTAAACATCTGTTTGTCATATGTCTGCATTTTACCTGCCGGCGTGCTGAAACCACGTGACACGTTACAGCCAATACTTAAACTTGACACCGAAAAAGTGACTTTTCAATCCATACACCAACCAACGCAGTTCGGTCGGTGCTATAAAAGAACCTCGGTTTGGTATACAGCCCTACCTCCACTCCACTTATTATTCTAAATTAGAGGCACCTGTTTGAGGTCGTTAGCTGCAAAAAGACACCTGTCCACCCCACACAATCAGTAAGACTCCCAACTACTAACATGGCTAAGACCAAAGAGCTGTCCAAAAACACCAGAGACAAAATTGTAGATTTCCACAAGGCTGGAAAGGGCTATGGGGCAGTTGCCAAGCAGCTTGGTGAAAAAAGATCAACTGTTGGAGCAATTATTAGAAAATGGAAGAAGCTAAACACGACGGTCAATCTCCCTCGGACTGGGACTCCATGCAATATCTCACCTCTTGGCGTATCAATGATCCTGAGAAAGGTGAGGAATCAGCCCAGAACTACACGGGAGGAGTTGGTCAATGACCTGAAGAGAGCTGGCACCACTGTTTCCAAGGTTACTGTGGGTAATACACTAAGACGTCATAGTTTAAAATCATGCATGGCACAGAAGGTTCCCCTGCTTAAATCGGCACACTTCCAGGCCCGTTTTAAGTTTGCCCATGACCATTTGGATGATCCAGAGGAGTCATGGGAGAAAGTTCTGTGGTCACATGAGACCAAAATAGAACTTTTTGGTCTTAATTCCACTCGCCGTGTTTGGAAGACGAATGATGAGTACCATCCCAAAAACACCATCCCTACTGTGAAGCATGGGGGTGGAAGCATCATGCTTTGGGGGTGTTTTTCTGCACATGGGACAGAACGACTGCACTGTATTAAGGAGAGAACGACCAGGGTCATGTATTGCAAGATTTTGGGGAACAAACTCATGACAATGACCCAAAGCGCACAGCCAGGATAACCAAGGAGTGGCTCTGTAAGAAGCATATCAAGGTTCTGGAGTGGCCTAGCCAGTCTCCAGATCTAAACCCTATAGAAAATCTTTGGAGGGAGCTCAAACTCCGTGTTTCTCAGCAACAGCCCAGAAACCTGGCTGATCTAGAGAAGATCTGTGTGGAGGAATGGGACAAAATCCCTGCTGCAGTGTGTGCAAACCTGGTGAAAGACTACAGGGAATATCCTGATGCATGCTCAATAATCCAGGTAGAAAAATCTAAAAAAGTTCAATCTGGTCCTCTGGACATACAAAAACAAAACAAAGCAAAAACAACAAAAAAATGTAGAAAGGTTTCGTCTCTCATCCGAGAGACTTCCTCAGTCTGAGGTGCTGTATTCAGCTCAGTCTCTTAAATAGCACCTTCTCAGAGTGGATCAACCAGTTTTGCTGCTGACAACCAAAACCAGCTGATCACATGCTCAAGAAGGACCATCAGCCTAACGATGGATCATTAGCACACTGATGGCTGTTTACTATTCACAGAGGGCTGAGTGATACTAGCAATCACAGCATTGTAAGAGGGGGACAATT